GCTGAGGGCGCACTCAATTCCATAAATTTTATTTTTTTTAATTAATAATTTTCATGTCTATTCATCTCACTAAAAGGAAGGCTGTGTGTTGAGTTAAACTCAGATGATGGTGTGTGTTTAACAGTGGTGAGTGTGAAGATGGAATTAAAAAGAAATGTTTTTAATTAGTTTCTGGAAAAGAGTAATTCTTTAATAATTATAGCCTTTGGAAACCATTTCTAGCATTAATTAGTCTCTTTACTTGACAGCGTGCTGCCTTAGGACCAAATGTTACCAAAATTACTCTAGAGTGTTTTATTGCATGGAAGAGAAGAAAAAGACAAGAAAAAATTGATAAGGCTGAGCAAGATATGGAGAGAAGGAAAGCAGATTTTAAAGCTGGCAAGGCATTAGTGGTATGTTCTCCAGTCCAATTCTTAATGTAAGAAGAAAAAGTTCTTGTAATAATGTAGCTGGCCTGGAATTGCCTTTTCCTTTTTTTACCCCCTACCCCCTCCACTCCCTCTTTTTTTATTTTCTTTGTTTTTTGTTTGTTTGTTTGTTTGTTTATAGCAGTATAAATTGTGAAGTCCTAAATTAAGAGGGTTTTTTTGTTTGTTTGTTTGTTTTTCCCTGTGAATAAATAGATCAGTGGACGTGAAGTATTTGAGTTCCGCCCAGAGCTGGTTGATGCAGATGATGAAGAAGCAGATGACACCCATTATATTCAAGGAACGGGAGAAGATGATGAGGTAAAGAACAGTATTAACTTCAGTAATATTTCAAGTTACATTAAAGCGTGAAAACTCTTTTAACTTGAGAGCTCTTACAGTGCAATTAATAAGCTTGGTTCTTAATTTAACACCAGTGCGGAGTAGATTTTGTCAAAATTTTGGTGTCAAAAGGAAGATTAAAGAATTTTGTATAAATCCTGTAGGAATGAGTATTTCTGTAGAGAAGTAATTCACACTGAGCATCTTGGTTTATTTTTCAGATGGAAGACCCTGTATGTATAAATGATGTAGATTTGAACCTGTATGTCCCAAAGGCTGTAGATGAGACTGGTATTACTGTGGCTAGTCCTGAGCGATTCAGCACATACAGTTCAATAGAAAAAGATGGTAAGTTCATTTATTTAGGCATCACTAATACAAGAGCTTCCCAAAAGGCAGATAGAAATGAATTCTTGATCTACTTAAAAGGGCAGAGGAGTGATACTGTTATCAGTGGTACATGTAGTTACTAAAGAAAAAGCTTGTAGTAAATGCTATGTGCTTCTTACTTTCTTGAATTTAAGTTTAAATAAATGGTAGTGTTTATGGCCACTTCGTGTAAATCCTGAAGATGTTTGTTTTAGCTGTTCCACCCCCTCTTTTTTTTTTGTATGGTAAATTTTTTTTTATGTAGTAGATCATTGAAGAAACAATACTAACATGAACAAAAATCTAAGGTTTTCTTCATATTTTCTAGCTAGCTTACATTAGCTTGTAATTTCTTAGAGCAAAGTCTTGATCTTGGTGTGCTTGCAGAATGCATATGCTGATCTTAAAGATACTGAGTCTTTTAAGTGCAGACATTGAGTAGGAGCAGCTTATTAAGTTTGACGCAGTTATGAAAATAGGAGTTTGAGGAATTGGGCATTCCAAAGTTTGGGGGTTTTAACCTGTTCTAATAATTGATGATCTAAACCTGCATATTAATCGGGTACATGCAATTTAACTGATACAAGTCCACAGAAATTCAAGTAAAGTGACTTCTTTAAAGTTTCGAGACTTTAAAGCCTGTTTAGTAGGATTGTGAGTTAGTGATTAAGAAACTTGTGACACTGAAATGTGTAAGAATTACTTTTATTTACAGATAATAAATTAAGTGAAGCTTCTGGTGGTGATATAAACAGCAGTGAGCAAAATGACTTGGAGGAAGATAATGATGGAGATGAGGAGTTGGAAAATGGAGTAATCGATGCAGTTCCAGTTGATGAAAATCTTTTCACTGGAGAGGACTTGGATGAACTAGAAGAAGAACTAAACACTCTTGATTTAGAAGAATGAATTAAAAAGTTCAAGTGAGGAATTAAATCTGTGACAAAATGAAAACTGACTACTTTTTTTTTTTTTTTTTCCTCATTTTTGAATAGAGTTCTTAAACAGGATGTTTATGGTTACCCAGCTGATTCTGATGGGCACATCATATACCAGGAATATTTTCCTTCAGTCTCATCTACTCCAGTCTTGACTGTGCTCACAGTAAAATATTCAGAGTAGTTGAGAATTACCTGACAGTTGAAGTTGCAGAAAATGAGATTATAACTTTCAACTAAAAGTAGGAAGTATAACTGCTTTGCCAATATGCAGCTGTAAGTGGGCAATTTGATACCAGGTACAGTATAAAACATTCTTCACCAGAACTGCATTTTTATTAGTGGTTGTGATGATTCAGAAACTGCCCGAAGTGTCTTTAGGCAGCATACTCTAATGAAGCTGATGCAGGTTATGCTTCAAGTGGTGATTAGCTTTATTTGATCAGCTCGATATTGAAGATTGTGAACTGATATATCATACAATACAATATAGTGCCCTCTGTTTAAAATGTTTTAAAACTTCCCACTGCCTTTTGCCAACAAAACTGTAAATAAAAACTATCAACTTTAAAATACTTGTGTTGATTTTTCTCTGTTAAGTTAGGATATTATATCAAACTGTTAATACCTTCATTTTCTAATACAGTGATAAACACTTCTTTCTCCAGTTCTGATGCAAAAGTCTTTATGGCTTCTGTTTAAATTAGTTAACTGCAATTATTTTTCCACAGTTAATGTAGCATAAAACTCAGCTGCTGATGTTTTGGTGGGTTTTTTTTTTGGGTTTTTTGGTTGGTTGGTTGGTTTTTTAATCATCCCCCCCCCCCCCCCCCCTTTCCTTTCTTCTCCCCTCTTCTTTTTTTGTTGGTTTTTTAATCCCCCCCCCCCCCCCCATTCTTCTCTCCTACCCATCTATTAACTGATTTAATACATGTTATACATCACTCATTCTTTTCCTGATGTGTTTTGTGTGTTAGCAAAAACTTCAAGCTCTGTAGAGCAGGGATGTTACAGTCTAAAAAATGCCTGTCATATTTTTGGTGTTCTATAAATAACACGAAGTTACGCAGTACTAAGTCGCCTCAAAGTGGAGCAATGTTGTACTCTGCATTGTGTACCCAGTAGGCAGCACTTACTGTTGGGCTTAAATGAAGCCAGTGTGTCCTTTAAAAATCTACTGAATCCCTGCCATAAAGATTTCTCAGTAGTGGGGCTTTTTCAAGGGGACTGTAGGTTATGCCTCCTTGCCATACCAATAGTATCTGCAACAGTATTGCTGAACTAGTGATATCATTTGTATTAATTATTTTTTTTTTCCCTCTAAGACCTTTAAGTTACTACTTAAAAGATAGTTAAGATTTGTGGCATTGTTAGTGACCTTTCTCAAACTGCTTTTGGGTGGTAATATTAGCTTTAATGGTTATTTCTGACATTACTAAATTGACTCTTGAATCTTGAATGCTGTTTTTAAAATTAATTATTTTGCCCTTTTGGGGATCTTTGTGGCATTTGTTTTTTCCTATAGGAACAACAAGCAGTGTTCGGGAGAAAGAAGCCTACTGAAATTGACTTATAAATGTAAGTGTTTAAGGGAAAGCTGCAATATCAGATATAAATATTTATAGAAAGAAGAATCTCCATAAACAGTGCTGCCATATTATTGTATTATACTGGCCAGTGGTAGGATACTTGGATATTGGGACACTTAAGAATGCAAACCATTGGAATGTATGATGCATAATTTTCTGAAGTTGTATATTTTAAATGGGAATAAAAGTAATTTAATCATTATCAAGGATGAAAATGGCTTTCTATATTTTGTGTCTTAGAGGCTGGTATGTTGTGTACAATGCTGATCTGTTTTGCTGATCTAAACAGGTTAAACCCTTGGCCCAGTCAGTTTTGTTAATTATTTGTATTTCACAGTGGAGGAGTGACAGGGTAACTCATTTCAGCTAATAAAATACAGAGGTAGATGAGTAGAGAGAGTGTGTGCTGTTTTGGGTCTGAAGGGCTTGGTTATGCACAAATAGTTTGTGCATGCATCATTTAAACATTGTAAAATGTTTAAATTGTTGTAAACCAGTCACTTTGCATAGTATTTGAGTATCTTGAGTATCTGTAAATTGAAGAAAAACTTAGTTTTGTAGGTAGTAGTTTTTGATGGATTATTTCACATGGTCAGGAAATGGTAGTTTGCTACGCCTTTTTGGTTTTCACCCTTTCAACTTACTTTGGCACTTCTAACTGGTCTTGTTCTAAGCTCTTGGCTTGGTAGGTCTGCATAGCTTTCTAACCATGAAAGCAGGGTGACTGCTTTTAAAGAAGTCTTTGTTAGTGTAGTATTCAGGCATGCTTTTGAGGATTAGTAGCAATATGCTGCTACTTGTTCCTTCTGCTTTAAGATAGGCTTGAGTATAACCTGTTAGAAGTTCCTGGTCTTGGGGATTAAAGAAGCCTAAATTTGCAGCTGACAGGGAGTTTCAGTCAGTTAATTCTCAATTAAAAATGAATGCCAAGGTCTGACTTAGGCTAGGTGAATGGTTAATATATTGGAAATGAACACTCTGATAGAATTGAGTCCACCTCAGTGTGACTTACCACCGAGTTATTGCTATTGATGCGAGTTTCTTGAAATTAATCTGATATAAAGTGAGTCATGGAAAAATGTGAGAGAATCTGAATCCTAAAATAGCAGTATCTTCACCTCAGTGGCCATCCAGTTTATACTGGTCAAAAATAGTGTTTCACAGTTAAAGGAGCAGGAAGGCTTGGTCTGAGAACACTTGCTGGGTTGTGGTCAGGCTGGAAAGCCATCATAAGCCAGGGAAAGAACACCTCTGCAATTCCTGTCCTTTGCAACTTGCACCATTCCATGTATCGTCTTGTTTTATTCCTATCTTAAAAGAGCAGTATATGAGAGGTATAATAAAACCATGGCTTTAACATTCCCTGAGATAATGTGCTAGTTTAAGCACTTAGCCTTCACAGCACCTTGTTACTAGATAAAAGCAATTTAAAAAACGCTTCAGAAAACCCATGCCTTTCCTTCCTAGTGTTTGCTATTGTGGGAATAAAGTATTTGTTGGCTTTGAATTTTGATGTATGTTAAAATCCCACTTCTGCAGCACACTTGAGCTGCTTAAATTGGCTAGTTTTAAATTCTCTTAGGCTGTTTTTTTGTTTTTGTTTCTTTCTGAGACCTGTGTGATTGAATTCTATGCTTGCCGCTGCTTTGCTACTCAGAGCTCCCTGAGTTTTATAATAAACACTGCTGATAAAAGCCTGGAAAAAATTGGAAATAAATGATCTTAAGGTCCTTTCCAACCCTAACTATTCTATGATTCTATGAAATATCACACTTCCTATCAGTTGTTTGTAACAGAAATGTTGCCATTTCTTAATGGACAATGCTCCCCAACTGCTTCTTTTTATCAAGGGCAGATTTTACTATTGATAAGCTTTGGAACCAGTGGTACTTTTTTTTGCAATTCAATACTGTCATAATAGATGATGTGTATTTAGCAAATAGATGGTACATAAAGAACTGACACATACAAATTAGTATTTTTTTAATGTGTTATATTTTCTTTCACAGCTTGCTGGTCAGATAATGCAGAATAACAAGTGTCAAAAAAGTATGTCTCACATTCTGAACGCTTATTTCTATTTATTTTGTAATGTTTATGCTCCTTTTTAAAAATGATCTGAGCATAATAAGCAACAGACTTAAAGGACTGCAGTGGTAGGACAAGGGGTAATGGGTTTAAACTTAAACAGGGGAAGTTTAGATTGGATATAAGGAAGAAGTTCTTCACAGTGAGGGTGGTGAGGCACTGGAATAGGTTGCCCAAGGAAGCTGTGAATGCTCCAACCCTGGCGGTGTTCAAGGCCAGGCTGTACAGAGCCTTGGGCGACACAGTTTAGTGTGTGGTGTCCCTGCTCATGGCAGGGGGGGGGTTGGAACTAGATGATCTTAAGGTCCTTCCCAACCCCAACTATTCTATGAGTCTATGATTTTATAAGCTTATATCTTGCAAATAACATACTTGGAAGTTTCATAAACAGTGTTTGTTATTCTTCGTGCCATGTGCAGTGTTTTAGTAACTTAATGAAACTGTAGAGTGATGGAATGACTAAACTAAAAATAGTAAGGAGGCTAGATCTGTGTCTCCTTTGCAGTGAAATTATTACAGCCCTAAACTGAGAGAACAAGATTGCTCTCATATGCAAACATCTCTCATGTATATTTACCTGAAGTATCTCAGCAGAAATACCCCCTGAATAACATCAAAAAGAATAGGACAAGAATTGGAAAAATGAGCTATGGGAAGGCCAGAGGAACCGCAAACACCCCTGAAACAGCAGCCTCACTACTTCTGACCAAGAGACCATTTATCATACTCCAAAAGCCAGACACATGGGGAAGGAAAAGGTAAGAAAAGGACAAGCCTGTGCACTTCTCGGAGCTTGTACATCACTTCCAACAATTCTTAATCTTAAGATTTACTGTACTAGATGTAGCCTGTGATGTCTTCCTCTTCTGAGTGTGTTCCCTGTTTCTCCCTTGAATCCCTCTGCGTTTTTAGCATCCTTCGGAAAACCAACAATTCCACAGCTCTGCTACATCTTGTTTTGAATGTGACTCCTCCTAGCTTGTATTATTGGACCCCTAGAGAAAAATACTTGGAGGAAGTGGTACCCTGTACCTTCCTTAGCTTTAACTTGACGCCAAGTAGAGAAAATGGATATAAAAAAAAGGAGCTGATGTATTTTACATGTGAAGAACACAATCCCTCGATGTATTTCAATGCTAGAAACCTTTTTAACAGAATTAGAAATTTTAATTAAAAAATAATTTTAATTTAATTAAAAATTCTCTCTCTTAAGGTGCTTGATTCATTGCTGTGAATGGGACTTACTCAGTGAAATCTTTAATGAGGCAAATAGTCATTTTTCCTTCCAGTTATGTACCAGGCATATTTTATGTAGCTATGAACACCTTAAGTGCT